GTTCAGGCTAGTTATGCCTTGGGTTACACAGTGTGGGGCTAGGAGGGCAGCAGCTCAGCTGAGGGTGGCTTGAATAGATCATAGGCATAGCTTCAGCCTGTTTAGCTAGAAGAGTTTGCATCTTAAACTGATGAAATTGGCTTGGGCAGCAGTGTATGCATCTTTGCTCCCAATGTTCTGCCCATATTGCAGCAGTGCGGGACCTGTGGGTTGAAAGGAAGACAATGCATGATCCTTTTCTGGATCAAAGCTACAGTAAAAAAGTCCTGGAGGCTGTTTGAACTAGGCTCTGGACTGCCCCTCCTGGGGTTGGTTAGCCTCTCCTCACTGCAACCATATCTGCAATGAGGATGTCAGTGTTCATTACATAATAGGGCCTGTTGAGAGACTGCTGGCCACTTTTTTCCCAGTGGAGAAACTCCTTACAAGCAGAAACAGGACTGCCATTGTATGTTTTAATCTACTACCTATATCACTATCCCAGATTTCTACATCTTGCAAGGTTCTTGTCTTTACTTTGCTGTGTTTCAAAGTGCTACCCACCTCAAAACTCAACTACTTATTTGCTATTCTGGCTCTTCTAGTAGAGGAGAAGGCAAGTACTGGGACTCTTTGGCTGTCTTACTTAGCTTTTTAATGATTCAATTTTGTGAATGCACTAAAATTTGAATGCATAATTTTGCTGTTAAATTTATTTAGATTGTTCCAGTTTTTTAAATTTTATACTAGAATAAACATTTATATTTCTCTTAAGTAAATTTTTTTCAAGAACTGAAATTGTTATCTCAAATGATATCCATTTTAACACCTTTTTATGCTGTTAATCACTGAAATTTATATCTATGACTGAGTACACTATAAAGACTACCAAAATGGAGATTTTTTTAAAATTCAAGTTATGAGGCAAAGAAATATTATGGATATTTAAATATGAATACTGAAACAGTAACTTTTCTGGAAGAGAAAGTAGATGGAAACCTTAAGAACACTGTGGTAGGTAAAGAGTTCATGAACAAAAATCAAACTGCATAGGAAATACCTCAAAGGATCAACAATTGGGATCACATTTTTTTTGTGTGGAACTGGGGATTGAACTCAGGCCCATGCTCTTGCTAGGGAAGTGCGTATTCTACTGAGCCATCTCCCTGGCCCTGGGATTACATCTTTTTAAAAGCTTCTGCATATCAAATGATATCACCAACAGAGTAAAAGAAAACCCATGAAGTGGAAAACAATGATAGCAGACTGTCCATCATACAAAGGACTCCTATCTAGAAAATATAAAGAATTTTTAAAAATTAGGCCTCCAGAATTCAAAGGCACAATCTAAAAATAGGCATCTGAAATGAATATACACTTCACACAGGAAGAGATACAAATTAAAATGATGAAAACTATTTTTCAAGAAAATTAATTTACAAGAGATGTAAATTAAAATGACACTGAGATACCATCTTACACCAGAAAGCATGGTATCTTTGCTATCATCAAGAGGTCGAACAATAACAAATTCTGGAGAGGCTGTGGGGAAAAGGAACGCTTTTCCACTGTTGGTGGGATTTCAGGCTGGCACAAACATTATGAAAATCGGTACAGAGATTTCTCATAAAGCTAGGGTTGGAGGTCCCATCCAAGCCAGCTATTACCCTCCTAGTTATTTTTCAAAAAGAACTGAAATCATCATACCACAGCAATATATGGGCACCCATGTTTATAGCAGTGCAATTTGTCATAGCTAAATCTTGGAAACAACCTATAATGCCCATCAACTAAGGAATGGATTGAAAAATATGACATTTTCACACAATGGAGTATTATTCAGCTATAAAAAGGATAGATTCAAGGCTTTTGTAGATAAATGAATGCAGCTAGAGACAATATTGGTAAGTGAAATAAATCAGATTCACATGTGCAAACTTGGAATCCCACTAGTGTGAAAACTTTAAAGAGTAATGAAAATCTAAAAGGTACAACAGACACCGTGAAAGGGAAAGAAATTGTTCAATGGGAAAGAAAAACCAGAATGAGGAAAAGAACAAGTATAAGAAGGGAAAAAGATATATTTGGAAATATATGTAGAATAGTAGGGATAATTATATTATTGCGTTCTGTGGGTCTTTTGAAAAGAACAGTTAATGCTTAATTTTTTTTTATTCTGAAAATCAGAAAAAAATTTTCCTCTTTTGATTTTCTTTTCTTTTCCTCTTTTGACTTTCTCTTTTTCCTCTTTTGAATTTCTATAACTTCTCTGTTATTGTTTTTTTAATCTTACACATTCATATCTGGTAATTTGAACAAATAATTTGAAGATAACATCATAATATACAGCAACCATTGTTGAATTCCTATCATATTGTTTAGTGAAATCTTGTATCATATTTAATGCTGATATTTTCTCTTTTTTATGTATGTAGTACAGGATCTACATGGTCTCACTACCCAGATCAGACTTGTAGTGATCCTCCTGTTTTCAGCCTCCCAAGCTCTGGGATTACAGGTGCACACCACCATGCCCAGTCTCAATCACCATCAGTGAGCCCCAGGGGCAGGGCCAGCACAGCATGCCAGGTATCAAACCCCTATCTGCCTAAACAGGCACTTTAATCCCCTGAGCTGTCTGGCCCGCCCTTCTTTTTTTCTTTATATCTCTATTTCATATTTTTTAAAGTATTATGTTTTAACCTCCATTATTCTGGTGATTGAAACTGTATAATTTTTTCATGCATTTCTCATCTTTGAAAATTACTAGATCACATATTTTGATTACTTTGTGTTGGAGATGAAGCCTTTATTTTTACAAGTTCTTTGTCTATTAAAATATTATTGAATATTATAGGTGTGTAAACTCAGCAAAATATTCTAAAAGAGTCCAGTAGCCCATAATAGCATTGGGTCCTCTGTTTAACTGGCAATGTCAGAAATTATTGACCTGAGTCCCCCACAGCTCAACATAACAGCTTTATTTCCTATATTTATTTTCCTTTATTTCCTATATTTCATCTTCATACTTTTCTACTGGATGGTTAAGACCAAGGTAAAGCAGGACCTATACAACAAGAGTTGTAGCTTTTTGGTCTGAGAAGGTCAGTGAAATGCCCTCAGGATTTATCCTGAGATCCTGTACCTCAGATTGTAGAACCTTTTGTAAATAGGATCACAAGTCCACTTCTTGTACAGCAATTAACCACTAAGAAGAATATATGCATATATGCAGTGTATTATTTGTTGAAACTGTACTTCCGATTTGATTTGAAACTGTCTCATTGCTATCTGTTTATCAATAAAACTTTGAAAAAAAATAATAAAAAAGAAGAAAAAAAATAAGCAATATGAATTTGGGTCTTACAAAAGCTTGTAATATTGACAAAGAATTATATATATTGTAAGTTGAATCACAAGAATTTATTTCACTAAAAGTCAATAAAAATAACTGCTCTTTAAAAAAAATAACTGTTTATAGTAAGTGTGGCAACATAGTCCTAAACTTATTATTTTTAATCTGGCGTATACCACTTTTGCACTAACTTTATGCAAAATTTTTAAAGAGGACCAGATTTTGTGATATTTTCTTCTTTTCTTTTTCAGGATTAAATCATGAAGTATTTAAACCCAGGGTATATTCTAAACATCTGTAAATCAAAAAAGATTAGACTTTTTTAAAAAATGTATTTGGTACAGAGTCTCAATACACAGCTTGAATTCAGTGATCCTCCTATTTTCAGCGTCCCCAGTCCTGGGATTATAGGCATGTACCACATGTCTGGTCTCAGTGGCCAGCTCAGCATGCCTAGGTTGGGTCTGGTGCAGCATGTGTGGTACAGAGTCTCAAGCCTGGGTCCCTGCTCTTGACAGGTAGGTGCTCAGACCACTGAGGCATCTTGCTAGCCTTTCAAGATCAGATTTTTAAGAGAAAAATTACTGGAAATAGAGATTCATTATCAAGACAGAAAAAGGTATAAAAATATTAAAATCATTGAAGATCCTTGTATAAAAACAATGCAAAATATTTACAGTACTTCTGAGGAATACAGACTTTACAACTTCCCCCATCCAACCTTCCCAAATTATGTGACTCTGTGTGACAGTTTAAGTTTCATAATAATACAGAAATGCAAGAATCATCAGGATCTAGTTCTGGAAAAAAGAAGTCAGATGAGTCTGTAAAACCAAACATGAAAAACCTAATGAAATGGGCTTAAACTGTTTAGGTAAGTCCAAAGCAATGAATGTGTTTTTAAAGAATCCAGTTTTTGGAAGCCAAGATTATACTATTCAAACTGCAAAAATACACATACTCACATGCATTTTAGACAATGGCCCCAGGCATATGAAAGTTTAATTTTATTGTAGCACTTTTTGCAAATATATCAGTACTTTTTGTTATTATATAATCTTTTTGCAACAGTCAGTAATAATTCAAGTGACAAAGTATAAATAAAATCATACACTTTATCAAAACTTGCATCAAATCATTTTATGAACTCTGTCATAGGATCAAAATCATTTCCCACTCCCCATTTGATAATGGTTCTATTTATGATCCTTTAAGTATGAAGTCTCTGAAGATGCTGCACTTGAAATTATCTTCAGTTATCACTGGAAATGTTGAGTAGGTAATGACCTAATCCAATCAGTGCTTGTTTTTTGATCTGATGAAATGTCATTTTTGAACACAACAATTCAACATTGAAGATCCCATATGGTCAATTTCACTAGCGCTTTGCTCCAGCCTGGACACTGACCATGGAGAAATAGATGCCTTTCTGCGCAAGCAGCTGTTGGTGTGTGCCACGCTCCTGGACCCTGCCGTTCTGAATCACCACAATGACATCTGCATTCTGGATGGTGGACAGGCGGTGCGCAATGACAATGCACGTGCGGCCCTCTCTGGCTTTGTCAAGGGCCTCTTGGACAACCTGTGCATTACCACATGAATTAATTTTCATGATAATATGTAACATCACCCTTTAATTCTTCCTCCATGAAAAGCTCCACAGTTTCTCATTTGAGAATTTCTCAACTCTCATTCCTCTTTTAACAGTTGTGTCCACAAAATACATCAGATTTTAGAAACCAAGACGCTTGTCTCATCAGAAAACATTTGAGTCCTAGTTTAGCTAAATTCTGACACGGATTATTTATGTCCTTCAAGTTATAGCTACTGGGATCCAGTATGGTGTCACATTACTGTAATCCCAGCACTTGGGAGGCCCAGGTGGGAGAACAGTTGTGAGTTTGAGACCAGCCTGGGTCACAATGTGAGCTGAAGGCCAGCCCAAACTTCATAGTGAAACCCTGTCTTAAAATAAATAAATAAACAAACAAACCATCAATTTGGGTTTTTTTGTACTTGAATCAGTTGTGTGTAAAAGGCTTGCATGTATGCTTTCCTTCCAAAATCAAAAGGCAAACTTAAGGCAGATATATTGTTTGTTGCTATGGCTGCTTTCCATGGAATTTAAATACTTTCTGCAACTATCAATAAGGATTGCTAAGATGAGACATGGCAAGTTAGTGATAGAGTACAGATGCCCAGAAACCAGCTCAGCATGACTTCATGTTCCACTAAGCAGCCATATGCAGGAAGCATGTTCCAATGTCACTTTTGTAGTCCCCAGGCTGGTCTTAAACTTGCAGTCATCCTGTGAAGCCAGGGATCAAACTTGGGCCCTTGTGCTTGCCAGGTAGGTACTTATGCCTCTGAGCTCTCTTCCCACTCCCATTTGAACCCAATTTAAATTCTTACCTTTTCACTTTCTGTATCCAGAGCTGATGTAGCTTCATCCAAAAGCAAAATGCGAGGCTGTCTAACGAGGGCCCGGGCAATGGCGATGCGCTGTTTCTGGCCTCCGGAGAGTTGGGTTCCTTTGTCTCCCACTCTAGTGTTATATTTCTGCAAACAGAAGTTTGTTGTTATAAAAGTCAAAAACAATTTGCTCTCAGAAAATAGAATAACCTCCTTGATCAGAAAAGCTGGGACACCACTGAATTACAGGATGTCACAGCAGAGGTCCTATTACATCCTGAGTCTTCACTGACCATTAAGGAATAGTGCCAAAATACTGGATTTTTAGCCCATCTATCTGTCTAATTTTTGGTCTTCAAATCTTAGCTGTTAAACATCCAGAAGAGAAGCTCAATGACATTGTTATTGTATAACATAGGCAGTTGAACTTGACATCACTGTCTGTCTGAATATCACATACCTTAGACATAAAATGGAAGTGCTATTTTTCAACAACCATGGCCATTCTAAAATTTAAATCCCAATTGAATGTTAAAAAACAGTTCTGAGGGCTGGAGAGATAGCTCAGTTGAATAAGCACTTGCCTGGCAAGCTCAAAGTCCTGAGATTAATCCCCAGCCCCACAAAAAATAAAAATAAATTAATTAATTAAAAAAAACAGTTCTGATCAAGAAGATTATGGGGCCACAGAGGAAAGTGATCGTTGATGTAGTGTGCCTAAAGAGAGTCACATGGAGAGAAACATTCTCTCAGGCTTACACAGAAAGCAAATTGGTCAAGCAATGGCCAAGACTCATCCATATGGTTGACACTGACAAAAGATCCAGAAGGTGCTGTACATGATTCCAGGGTAAATCCTCAGGGGATTTGACTGACCTTATCAGATAGCAAAAGTTACATTGTTAGTTGTACAGTTTTTGCTTTAACTTGGTCTTAACCATCCAGCACAAAAGTATAACCATGAGGTATAAAAAGTAAAGCTATACTAATATGCTGAACTGTAAAAGGCTGAAGTGAACAACTTTCAATAATTGCCAATTGTGCTAGTAACTTACTACTATTATGGACAATTGGACTATATTGTGTTATTTCGCTCAGTTCAAGTACCTACAATCTTTGGACTGCCATCAAGTATGAAAATGTGCTTTAAAGACTTCTACAAATACTGCTTCTCTAACAGCAATGGAACACTCATCTCTGACAAGACAAAACAAAATAGGGAATATAAACAATGGAACATTTTGTAGTGAAAAATATATTTATGAACGTACAAAATAGGACAGATATACAACTACTTCCTCTTATTCATGTATTAATTATTGTAACTGTCTTAATAACCTGTTTTGAAACTGTCTCATTTCTATTTCATCCTTCTTTTCTCAATAAATGAATAGAACATTTAAAAAAGAAAAAGGATATTTTTCTCATAGAATGCATAGAAAAATTTCGGTGCAGAAAATAACAATGTTTATAGAGACTTAACAAAAAAACCTCTAAATGTTAAGTTTAATCTCTTCTGGAAAATGCAAATTATATATTTTATTGTAAGTCAGCTAGATGTCTCATGAGGAAGAATACTGTTGCAATGCTATTATCCACCATTGTCACCTTTCATTACTTTGTAGACCAAGATTGGTAGGACACAATAAATTTTATCTGAATAAATTGTGCATCATAATTGAAGCACACTGACTTATAACCAGCAGCTATTGCCTTCTGCTTGTTTTCTGAAGAGAGGAAAGAAAAGTCCTGGGATGTTATCCTTATGGTATGTGTTTTTATGAAAGCATCTTCAACACTTAAGCCATTTCAATGAGTGCTAACAAAGTTGCTTGGGTACCTAACCAGGAAAACTGAAGTATCCTTCCAAAGTTGTTTTTAAAGTTCTTTGAAAACTCTTTTCATACCATTTCTCACAGTAGAGAACTGTCACAAAGGTAAGAAGAAATTAGATAAAGCAGCACATATGCTTTAGAAAACACTATAATATTACCAATTTTAGCCCTGGCCAGGTTGAAATTATAGTCTGTAAATGGGCTCTGATTCTTACACCTGAATTTGAACTTTAAATCCACTTTTTTCATAATGTTGCCTATATTTATTTGTGGTATCTGGCCATTCTAGTCTATGGTACTTAGAACCAGAAAGAGATAGAGACAGGGACATCCAGAGACAGAGACAGAGATCTCCTGCTGAAGTTTTGGCAGATTCTAGACTGGCTCCAGCCACAGCAGTAGCAGCACCCTGCAGTGCATCTCACTGAGTACAGGCACACTGCCAGGCTGCACCGATGCAGCAGTGTCCTGTTGGGGAGATGAGAGCACTGTGATCCTCGAGACAATAAGTCTACATCAGCCTTGGTGGGTGTGGATGAATCCTACCACTAATAACTCAGCAAAAAGTATCCTTAGACAACAGAACTTAGTTATGTAAGAACTTACTGTGCTGACCTAGACTCTGAGGAAAGCAGAATAAGGGATCACCAATGATGTCTACAGGTGTGGTGGATAGATACCGTTAATCCAGAAAACTGGCTCCCTATGGTAGACACAGACCTTAGTAATTCTGTGCCAAAGTTTTAGTCACCAGAGGTAGGATGGGATCTGAAAAATTTTAACAAATGCCCAGGTGATGCTGATACATGTGCATACTTTGAAAAATCACTGACTTCTCATTAGTGACGGGTTTGTGTGATGGTTAGCTGATTGTAACTTGAGAGGAATGTCCAGCAAGTTCTTAGTCAGCATACTTCTGGTTGTGGGAGACCCACTTAGAGAGAAGTGTTGTTGGAACTGGGTAAAAGGAGAATGAGAGGAAAGGATTTCAGCTGATCTTCCTTGGAGAAGCTTCAGCTAGTCTCTTCAGAAGACCTGCAGTCTTCACCTTTGCTAAGGATGGCTGTTATTCTCTGGTTTTCCCCTCAACCTTGGGCACTGTCTTTTGGTTTCTAGTGCAGATTCTTCAGCTTCAGCCCTGGAGTTTTGGCTTGCAGCGCACATCCTTCAGTATTCCATCTATAGTTCCTCAACCTCCTGATACAGACTCACACAGGACATTGCTATGGGCTCCAGAGCTTTGGCTAGATTCTTCAGGTCTCTAGTGCTCAGACAGAGCACTAGATATTGTAAGCTAAGGTAAATTTCTGTGTCATGCACTAAATCTGATTTAGTGCATGTGTGGTCTTTTGAGTTGCCTCAGCCCACCCCTTCACACATTGACTACAACAGTTCAGAAGTTTACATTTTAAGTGTTCAAGCCTCAAGAAATGTCAATTTTCCACAACTGTCCTCTTTAGGACTGTGCCTTTGCCCTGGGAACTGATTTAGGCATAGCCATATCTGAAGAAGAGCCTTGAAAAAGGGAATTTTTTGAAGGATTTGGGACTACCTAATGTTACCACTTCTCATCATGAGGAGATAGCATTTCCTTCTGGTTTGAGGATACTGAGCTTTATTTTTTAGTAATGATTCCTTATAATAAAGCATATAAATAGGACAGTGCGAGATGATAGAACATCTAGGTCAAGATTTATTTCAAAATACAGGACCTACCTGGCCCAAGGAGAAAATAAGAGGTTTCAGTTACCTAAGATCCTAGAGCAAAGGTGGCAAACCTTTTAGAGACAAGTGCCAAAACTACAGCCCAAAACATACTTATTCATCACAAAGTGCCAACCATACAATTCAACCTGAATACTGGGGGTTTAGTTTAGAAAAAACCTCATACACTAACATCTTTTTGTCTTAAAAACCAGTAACATGTGTGCCACAGGTTCACCACCATCTAGAGGAACTGAAAGGCACAGCAAAAGCCCAAGATGAATTATTTATTTATTTATTTAGTTAGTTAGTTAGTTGGCACAGGGTCTCACTATATAGCCCAGACTCATAGTGATCATTCTGTCTCAGCCTCCCCAGCCCTGGAACTACAGGCGTGCACCACCATCTCCAATTTCAGTGGCTGGCTTGACACATGGCCAGCATAGCTTGCATTACTGGGGATCAAACCCTGGTCCTTGTGTTTGCCAAGCAGGTGTCTAGACTGCCAAGCTATCATCCCAGCCCCTCAAGATGAATTTCTATAGAAAATCACAGAAGTGCAGCAAAGGACCTTGGAATGCGTGATGATTACACAATACCATGGTCACCTCAATGGCTCAGCTGTGTTCAGAGAGAGTCTGGTTACTCCATAGAGTGAGGTTAGAGCTTGGAGAAGAGCAGCAAGGAGGCAGAGGAAGATAGATGAAGGGAAGAATGGGAGGGCTGGTCATGCCTGCTTCCCTGACAGGGCCAGAAGCATCACAGTCACAGAGGGAATTCCAGATGCTGCCTGCAGGCCCTGTCCTTGGACTAGGAGTAAAGGAAGGGAGGGAAAGGGAAAGGCCTCCTGGACATCCCATTTATCCAAGAGCTGAAAAAAGTGGAAGCTCAAGTTTACAAGTTGGAGAGTGGTTTCAGGTGGCCTACCTCAGCAAAGGTCTCTCCTAAAGCTGAATCTAACACTTCAAACTGTTCTTCATAAGGCAAGTCAGGTGATCAGGTAAACAAAACTAATCATCAGGGCAGGAAGTGTGGCCAGATACTTGAATACAGGTGGGACTGCATGATGGTTCCTACCTCTCCCCACCTCTAGCAAACCAGCCCTTTAGAAATCACATGATATGGCCTAATCATTTGATTGCACTGACTGTAGCTCAGTGGTAGAGCACTTACCCACCACACACCAGGATCCCTGGATTGGATCCCTAGCATTGCAAGTTAACAGAGGAATGAAGTTTAAGAGGAGGAGGAAAAGGAAAGTGTCATGGTTTGTGTCTAGTTTTCCCCCTAGAGCCTTATACAGTCATGGGGTGGACTTTTAGACTTTGTGACTAATTCATGATGCACTGCAATCATGGGTAAGAGTCTTCTGGGTTTATGAGTGTGCGTACTATACCCACCTGGAGGCAGATAACCTGAATGCAACATAAGGGAGGCAGACTTGCTCTCCATTGTCATGGTTGCCACTACTCCTCCCTTTGCTTTCTGCTCTTTGCTGCCACCATGAAAGGTTGGTCTCTGCCATGTGCCATTTTGCCTTGGAGCCTGCTGAGTATGAACTGAAATCTCTACTAACTGTGAGCTAAATAAACTTTTCATTCCTTCATTTTGGGTGTCAGGTATTTTTCCTAGCAATGAGAGAACAGTAACTGAGACAGAACTGAAGAAGAAGAAAGGGAGAAGGAGTGAAATTAATGTAAATCAGAAAACAAGCAAAGGAGACTGCCACATGCTCCTGAGTTCTTACTGTGGAGGAACACTTACATCAGGCAGCGACTCAATGAACTGGTGGATGTTGGCCTCCTTAGCTGCCTTCACAATTTCTTCCTGTGACACAGTCCGGCTGTTGTCTCCATAGGCAATGTTCTCCCCAATGCTGCAGTCAAACAGAATGGGCTCCTGGGATACAATGCCCAGCTGTGCTCGCAACCACTGCACATTCAGTTGCTGTATTTCTTTGTCATCCACGAACTGAAAAGAAGAGTGCGCACATCAACTTCTGGATCAGCACACTTCGAATTTAGCAGAATTAGCAACATCATTTCTTACTTTAAAAATCAAGGTACTTTGAGGTTAAGGGAACATTATGTTTGTCTTGCATGGTTGTCAAGGTTAATCGAGCATGCATAATTGTACACTTTGAGGAAAGGTCATGTTCCTGATGTTTTAATGTTTATCTATTATTCCTTCCCTAAGATATTCATGTCTTAATTTGGGAACCTGTGAATATATTGTAAGTCAACAAGGTATTAAATCTGCAGATGAAATTAAGACTGTTAATTAGCTGACTAAAATCAATTATGCTGGATTTTCTTGGTGAGTCCAGGGTAATCATAAAGGCTCTTAACTGAAAGAGAGAGGTGGGACAGCATCCACACATATAATGTAAGAAGACTTGGTCAGATAGATATTGTTTGGTCTGGGGATGGAAAAAGGGTCAGGAGCTAGAAAAGGCAGGACAACAGATCGTTCATTGGAGTCCACAGAAGGAATAGAGTATTGATGAGACCCTGATTTTAACTCAGTGAGACCTCCTTCACTTTCATAACCTCCCTAAGAATAAGGTAATAGTTGTGTATTGTCTTACACCAGAAAATGTATGGTTATATGAGCCATACAAAACTATGATTCTATTATTCTGGGGTGTATCCTGAAATTCTTCTTACATCTCAGTTTTTCATCCAAAGAACAGTGTGAGTCAGAGTGCAAATAAATACAACTATGATCACACAGTTGGGTCATATGATGGGTTTGTAGATCCAGTTTCTGATCTGACCTGAATTTGAGAAGCCAGATGCAGTGGTCATGTAGAACAGCAGTGCACACTACAGGGCAGGTGGTTGCATCTCCGTTCCTGCTGATCTTGGGCGACATAACCCATTGCTTTAACTTTCTTTGAGGGCAGTGCAAGAACTCTGACACTTTTTCAGTTCATAGGATTAATGCGATCATATTCAGAACCATTTAGCACAGCACTGGGCATAGGATTAGTGATCAAGAGCCTACAACAATGTACTTTGTGTGATGAAATGGGAGCTACAGAGGATAGAAAGTTGGACAAGTATTTAAAAAGACAGAGGCAGACAGTATCCTCAATAATGAGCTGAAGAATTAAGAAAGGCAAGGGTGTCCTTTATCGGGCAATTTGGCTGCCCAAGTGTTCTAGAGACACATGAGGTGTCCTTACCCACTTGCTGATGAAAAGCCCCCATCTCTGGTGCATATCTACACAATGTCCATGTTTGTACAGTTTTCCACATTTGTTTGATGCAACTGGTCATGACCTCTGCAGAGCACACAAGTGACTAATCTTTGGACTTTTCTCATGGTGGTGATATGTGTACTGAGCCACATATGCTCTACATCCCAGGTACCTTGCTGAGGCCTCTGGAGGCAGCTGGTCAGAGCTAAGTGAAATCCTTCTTCAGAAACACAGCTTCAAACCACAGATCCAGACTTAGCCCAGGCTTGGTGAGTGTGTGGCAGAGCTTCCAGCTACCCTGCACTGGCGGGACATGCCAGCCCAAGCCCAGGTGCAGCAAGAGTGAGACCCTCTTCCACCCCCTTCAGACCCCCCGACAATCTGCAGCAACCCCCACCCTGCTAGCCATGTAAAAATTTCTGCCGTTTTATGGGGACCCCCAGATCCAGACCTAGCCCAGGACTAGTGAGTGTGTGGGAGAGCTTCCTCTCCCCCCAATTCCACCATGTCCCCTCCAGACTCAGCTCAGGACTGGAATACAGGTCTGGGGTGAAACACTGCAACTACAATCCCTGCAGAGAGTAGGGTACAGAACAAATCACCTAGTCCAGGAGAAGAACATCTTGCCAGAGAGGTACAAGAGGTTTGCTCCCAAGGGCAGTAGCAGGAAGGAGCAGAGCACAGCAGCCAGACCCAAGCCAG